ATATAATAATATAATTGTACAATGTAGGTTTTAATATTTGAAGAAATAGTAGACACCATTAATAAATAAATAAAACATTCGTCTAAGACAATGGGTTTATCAGGCAAAGCCTCCGTGGGTGCCTACGAGCATAAGTATCAATGATTTCATCTATGTCTAGCTCTATGTCTCTGTGAATGTACAATAATATCAGAGCGTTAAATCGATCTTCACTCATTGTATTCCTAAAATGATTTTGGATAAATTTAAGCGATGAGTTGGCTCTTTCTACACCTTCCGATGTCACTGGTGTTAATAGCATGATATTAATTATCCATGTGATGTTGGGAAACATTTTATTACAACACCGTTTGTCGCATAACGTGTCTGAAAGTGTTGTGGGGATGTTTTCTTCTGCCTCCCACAATGCTTTCCACAGTCGTAGCTCTTGCTGCAGTGTGCTATAAGACGGCAAGTCGTTTTTATAGAATTCGATTGCATTTTTGCTCAGAGTAGGAGCTGCGTTACATTGAAGGACTTGGAGTGCCTGAACAGACTTAGCTGCCATATCTCCAAAGCGATCACTGAACTGCTGAATAAGTGAATCTATGAACGGATTATAGATAGCATATTTGAAATACATCAGCCTGTGGGGTTGTAGCTGAGTTGTTGTTGCGTTGGGTTTGCATTCCACAACGCCTTGGTGGATCCATTGTATTGTTAGAAATGCTTGCCATATCTGTCATCCTTCTCCAAACTTGGTCATATTACTCATCATCATTTCGTGCTTCAGCTAACGTCCGCTTAACAGAAACCATATCATAACCCTGAATGATATCAAGAGTGGACCCTTGTAATTTACTGCTGATGCCACGAACATACCCCAAAAAGTTAAAAACAGTGTAGAAACTGGCAATGAATGTTGGATCAGTCAGTTTCTTAAAGAGACCTTGAGCTTCTGCCATTGACTTTGTGTTCCATCCAGTTTCCAAGGAAACAACTGCCTCCAGGCACAGGACGAGTGGCTTGTACATCTTCTCAAAGTTTTCTAAGGTGGTATGCTTCTCCGTCCACCTTGTTTGGCAAAATACACCTAACTTGGATATGTTTTTTTGGCGAGCTTTCTCCACTGTCATATTATACGTCTCTACTTCAGCTTCTAGTCTACGACTTCTTTTGGGTGAGTACTTAAAGAAAATCCCAAGCTGTGTCAAGGTGTCCAGCATGAGATGAATTTCTTTTACCTTGCAACTTTTGCAAAGGGCCAGATTCAAGTCGTGGCTTGAACAGTAATGGTACACTGCCTCCTAAAACGAGCAGCACATACTGATTGTGCTCCTGACATATTCCCTGCCCCATCCATTGTTTGTGATCTACACATTTGAATGTCCAAACCAACTTTATTTAGCGCCTCTACAAGTTGATTACAGATGGCCTCCCCAGTTATTTTGTCACACGAAACAAATTCAATCAGCCTCTCAACAGGTTTCTTGTCTTTTGTATATCGTAACACTATACCAAGTTGTTCCCAATTGCTACAATCTGTTACCTCATCACACTGGAAGCCAACGAAGGGACCAATCTCTTGATTTTTTATTTCATCAATAATTTTGTTTTGGATGAACTCTTTCATACAGAGTAAAAGATCGTTCTGACTTGTCTTTGAAGTATACTTCGCATTCTTCCTACAGGATTCTAAGTGTTCCTTCAATACCAAATCCCCAGCATCTACTCTCAGTTCCAACAGAGCCTTGAAGCTACAGCTTGTGTCATCGTCTCTGTGTCCCCGAAGATCTATACCCTGTCTTGCACAGTATTCCAAACATTTAATTATCGATCTGAGAATATTTTTATTCTTGTTAACACGTTCAATATTTTCTTCCTTAAGTAATGTATCTATCCTTCCATGGACGTTACTATACATATGAGTGAAAGCTGTTAATTTAGCTACAGAATTCTTGTGGTAATCACAAACAGCATGTTTTTTCAGATCTGCAATTGCATCTTTCCAATTGCTGTATGGCTCGGTAATGAGTTTCTTTGGGCGACGATGTGAGGTGTCTTGAAATAGCACACATGCCAGGCAATATAGTCCATCGTCGTGTTTGGAATATGTAATAAAGTTAATGTATTAAACCAATCTCTACGACAGTGTCTTACTTGATAGCCTGATTTAGTATTTTTGTTGACATACTTTTTTGATTGAAATTTGAATCCCTTTTCTGGTTCTCTGTTATCCAGAAGATGTTTAATGATCTTGTCATCAGTTGGAAGTTTGTGGACATAATTCTTTATGTATAAACTACTTGCATGGGAAGGCTTATCGCAACTCACAGATTCACTGCAGTCACTGCCTTCTGCTACTGAGGTCACTGATTGACTTTCTACTTCTGCCTGTGGATTGTCTAATTCCTGGACCATCTCAGAATCACATTCTAATAATAATAAAAAAAAAAAAAAAACATTCCTGGAGTTGTAAAAAATAAGATGTAGTGCTTTTTAAGTAACATGTATAAAACCTACTACTCTACTGACTACCAAAAAATCCATAGGCCTACTAGGAGTCAACAAATTCTGCTAATAAAATAAGATTTCATTAACATGAAATAAATACAGTACAATATGTCCTGCAAACTAGATTATCTTATTCATAAAAAGCCAAACATGAAAAGTGGATTTTTTTTTTCTAGCTGTAGTAAATTATTGTGCAGTACTTTTAAACTTACCGTCTCCCACTTCGCCATCTGATTCACTGGAATCGTTTGGATATTGTCTTTTTCTTTGAGCCAACCTGTCAAATTATAATCATGCACGTTATTTTAGTAGTCAAACTGATGTGCAGCCAGGTACTGTAAATCATACTACTACTATGCTCATACTCTGACTTACTGTAAGGCCTACACTGCAAATATACCGGTATTCTCCACGCCTAATAGAAGTCCGTTCCGAACATTTTATTGTAAGTAAGGCCTAAAATTTCAATAAAATTTGGCCAGAAATCAGGCTTTCATTTAATTTTGATTTACATAACCAATTCATTATTCAGTATTTACTATTATGCACACATTTTTCCTAGCGATTTTTCAGGCAAGTTTGAGGTTTTGAGTGAGGTATCATTCGCGCAATAATGATAATGTAGTTTGATTTTATAAAAAAAATTCCTTGATTTGTACCATGGTGACGATCACAAGGAAGACATGGCCAATGACAAAGTAGACGTAGAAATCATCCAAGGATTTCGGAAAAGAAGGCCAGATATTCGCATAGATTTTGACAAAAGGCTTTGTCCTAATCTTAATTTATCTGATTCACCAATGCAATAGGCAGTAGCTACGATTCTTCGCATCCTTTTTTCCTCCTCTAAAAATTGAGCTGCTTATGGCTAAGTAGTACAGTATAGGCTTATTCCTAGTAGTAGTAGTACTACTAGGCAGGCCAAGGGCTACGCTAGGCCTTAGTGTTGAGGAATTCGCAATGATAATGTAGTAAGTTGATTATTAATAGTACATGTAGGCCGCCTATTTGAGTTATTAGCAATTTATATAATAAAAGTATAATATATACTTACGGCTGTGGTCGAAAAAAATGGCTTAACACTGACTGCTTCATCATTTTTCATATCAACAATTTACCTCCGACGACAAGCAATGAAGAAAAAACTAAACTGGAACAACTCTTTCGACACGAAATGTTTAGTGTATCATACAAACGTTTAAATATCTGCCTCTGACAGAAAGCAATCAAGACAAGACTAGAAAAGAACGAATCGCTCGACACGAAAAGTTCAGTGTATTATACAAACGTTGAGACCGCTACACAACGGCCTTTGCTTCGAGATTTGAGCATGAAGGCAAAACAAAAGCAGCTTTCTTAGCTAGGTTTTTTGTCCGCTGATCGGTTAAAAAACGTATTTCATTTTTATTTTATCACTGAAAAACAACTACTGTAAAATGTTTAGCCCATAAATATGATGTGTGTGAAGAAAACATTAAACAATATTTTAATTTGGACCTTCAAAAAGCAGTTAAAAAGAAATGGCTATGAAATTTTAGGGGGGGGGGGCTAAAGCCTGTTTAGCCCCCCCCCCCCAAATCTGCCCCTGCCTCTACGCGGTGGGCGGTCAGCATAGCACCAATCGAAAAGTGAAAAATGACGGTGACTTTTTTCATGCAATACAATTGAAACAAATACTAAAGCAATCAGAAAAAAAGTGCCTTCCAATTACCGATGGGAACACAAAAAATCCGACAAGTACGACTGTGGAAAGACAAAAAATGACCTAAAAACTGCTAGGCTATTCTCGCTCTTAAACGAAAATGTTGCAAGAAGAATTAAAGAACCATGTCGTATATTTTAGAGCTTTTTTGATTTGTCAATATGTATGGCTGATAATTTTACGTTATTTCGTCAGGTCGAGGTGATTTCACTTTATTTGACCTTATTGATAATTTGCGGAACTTTTGTTTGACATTTTGGGTTACATAGGCCTACATATCAGTATTAACCAGATTTCCTGAGGATTTTCTCTTTCAAAACTTTCATCTGTCACAAAATTAGACTTAAAGGGTCATTAAAATTCTGAGCAATTATATATGATGGTAAATCAGATATCACTAAAAGTTCCTCTTAAAGTAAATACCTACCCAGGAAAGCTTTTCTGTGATCAATATACTTAAGGCAGACACGCAGTGCGCACGACGGTCATCCGCGACGGTCGTCGGTCGACGTGATTAATAGAACGAAACGCGACGACTCAGATACTTTATTTCGTCTATACAATCGTGCAGAAATTTGTTTTCCGCTAACTTTAAATAACTAAAAACAACGAATCAACACAATACAGTAGTAATAAATAGATCAGCTTAAAGACATTTAAGAAAACTAAAACACTGTAAATAGGCTGTGGACCGAGACCTCAAAAAGGCTTTATTTCTTGACTTCTGTAGTACACACCGTGGAAGTACTTGCTTTTATGTTAATTAAGTCTCCATTAGTGTTGTGAAATTAAACTTCATTGTTCCCACGTTCCATTCTTGCACACGAACGAAACGAAAAAACGCTAAAAACCTAAAAAATATCATTTTTTTTCGTTTGCTATGGAGGTTTCCCTTAGCAACGGTGCATTTAATAATAATAATAATAATAATTTATATAGCGCCAATTTCAACTATACCGAAGTAAAAATCAAAGGCGCTTAACATTTAGATGGTAAAAAGGTGCGTCTTAAGTTTTGTCTTAAAAATAGCAACTGACGGTGATTGGATAATATTTTTGGGCAATGAGTTCCAAAGGGATGCTGCGGAAAATGAATATGATCTAGAACCAAAGGTTTTGGTGTTAATCCTAGGAACAACTAAAAGATTTTTATCAGAAGAACGGAGACAAGTAGATGGGGCATACGCATGAATGAGTTCAACAAGGTAAGTGGGTTGTTTGTAAAATAGTGCTTTGAACGTTAATAGCAGGATTTTGTATTTGATACGAGATTCAATACGGAGCCAATGTAACTGATAAATTACCGGTGATATATGTGAGCGTCTAGAAGTAAGAGTCAGAATACGTGCAGCTGAAT